AAATAAATATAAATCCACAAATGGATTGAGAACAAATGGGGAAAGAGACACAATGCAAACGAGAAGCATAAGAAGGCTGGTGATCCAGTATGGTTCAGACTTCAAGACAGGGTCTTCCCAGAGACGCTTCACGGTGCCAAACAGTTCATCAGGGAGACACGGCAATCAGAATACATTGTGCATATTTGCTACTAACAGAGCTTTCAAGATAGGAGGTAAAAATGGAAAGAGTTAAAGAGAGAAATAGACTTTCTATAACCATAGTTGAAGAATATAACACCCCTTCTGTTCTGTGCAGTTGATAAAACATCTAGACCGTTAAATAAAATTAAAAAAAAAAATCTAGACCGAAAATGAGTAAAGCAGATAATCTGAGCAATGCTATCAACCACGTTGACCTAGTTGACCTTCAGGGAACACAGCACTTAATACCTGCACAATACGCATTCTCAAGCGTACACGATACGTCCGTTGAGTTATAAAATACATTGGGCTGTCATATGTTTCAAATTTAAAATAATTCAATTAGGAATCAGTGAAGGCATCTGGGGTTAGAGTTTTCCTAGCTAAGTGTTTAACTGCAGATTCAGTTTCTGTCATAGACACAGGGCTGTTGAGGTTTTCTACTTGTTGAGTGAACTTTGTTAGTTTGTGTCTTTCAAAGAATTGGTGTATTTTGTCTACGTTGTCAGGTTTATTGGAATATAAGTGTTCATAATGTTCCTTTATTCTTCTTTTGACACCTGTATGATCTCTAATGATGCTCCTCTGTCATTTCTGAGGTTGGCACCTTCTGTCTTTCTTTTCTTTTTCCCCTGATCAGTCTGGCTAGAGTTTGATCAATTTGATTGGTCTTCTCAAAGAACCAGCTTACAATTGCACTGGCTTTGTTCGTTGTTTTCCTGTTCCCTACGTCGCGGACTTCTGCTCTGGTCTTTGTTATTTCCTTTCTTCTGCTTGCTTTGGTTTTATCTTGCTCTTCTCTTTCCAGGTTCTCAATGTGGAAGGTGAAATAATCGATTTCAGACATTTTTCTTTCCTACCGGATTTTAGTACAAATGTTCTTTTTACCCTTTGCTGCATTCCATGCATTTGGTGGATTGTGTCATTTTCATCATGTTCTAATACTGACGACTACCCCCCAGCTGTCTCATTTGAAATCACTCATCATCATGTGTCTGTTATCGTACATTACTTCAGCACCAGAGATTTGGGGGTTTTCCACGGCTCTGTTACTGATTTCTAATTTAATCCCATTGTGGTCAGAGAAAATACAGAACCTGAATTCTTTTATATTTGTCGAGCCTTGTTTTATGGTCTGTGATATGGTCTCTCTGGATGACTGTTCTGTGTGCACTGGGAAGAATGTTTATTCTGCTGCTGTTGGGTTGAATGTTCTGTGTAAACCAAGTCAGGGTAGTTGTTACTGTTGTTCAGATCCTGTCTGTCCTTACTAGGTTTCTCAGTACTTGTTCTGCTTCAGGAGGAGAACGGAAATCTCTGACCATAATTATGGATTTGTCTGTTTCTTCTAGCGATGCTACTGGTTTTTGTTTCATGCATTTTGAAAGCACTCTTGTACATAAATGTTTAGAAGTGTCATGTCTTCTTGATGAACTGGACTTTTTTGTCTTGTGAAATGACCTTCTTTATCCCTTGTACATTCTCTGCTGTAAAATACACTTTGTCAGGGTGCTGGGGGAGCTCAGTCAGTTAAGCGTCTGCCTTTGGCTCAGGTCATGATCTCGGGGTCCTGGGATCGAGCCCCACATCAGGGTCCCTGCTCCTCAGGGAGTCTGCTTCTTCCTCTCCCTCTGCCTCTCCCCTCAGCTCATGCTCTCTCTCTGTCAAATGAATAAATAAAATCTTTTTAAAAAATAAAAAATAAAATACACTTTGTCTTGTGTTAATGTATTCACTGCAGCATTTTTTTATTAGTATTAGCCATGTTGTATCTTTTCCACCTTTTTACTTTTAACCTGGGTATGTTAATATTTAGAGTGGGCTTTATTTTAGTGGTTGCTTTGGGGCTCATGGTATACACATTCAATTGTTCACAGCCCATCTTCTGGAAATATTATACCACTTCATGTATAGTGTAAAAACCCAACAATAGGGTACTTTTGCTTCCCCCTTCTGGCCTTTGTTGGCTTATGTTTTCCTTCTACATATGTCGTAAATCTCATCCTATGCTGCTGTTGTTCTCATGTAGGTGGTGGTTATCTCTTCACCTGTTTACCCACGTAGTTACCTCTTCCACTGCTTTTGTTCTGTTTTGTCGATTCATCTAGGATCATTCTCCTTCTCCCTGCATGAGTTCCTTGACTAGTTCTTTTCCCATGGGTCTAGTGGTGGTGAAGCCTTTCTGGTTTCGTGTGTCTGAAAATGTCTCTGTTGTCCCTTCCTGTTGTAAGAGTATTCTGCAGAGCATAGAATTCTGGTTGGCAATTTCATCGTTCAGTACTTTAAAGATGTTGCTCCACCGTCTTCTCAAGGCACTGTTTCCGACAAGGAATCTGCTGCTATCTTTGGTTTGTTTCCAGCACAGCTTCTCTCTGGCTGCTTGTAAGATGTTCTATCTCTCTCTCTCTTTTTTTTTTTT